GCCCCAGATTTAGCTCTTGGTTCGGAAAAAAGTGGCTTCCTGCCAAAAAGGTAGAGTAGCACGTTCTTAGCTTTTACAGAACCTTGGTAAACTTTGCTGAGGTTCATACTAATTTCATTTTAGTTAGCATGATGTGTGATTATGTTTGTTCTGATCATTTTAGAGGCGGTGTAGGCATACAGAGGTCTGGACTACATCGTGGCTGTACATACCAACAACGGTATAGAATTGAAATGCAAAACGAAACACTAAAGTTCCAGTCCCTAGTAGACAGCTACAGGAACTGTTCTTTGGGCAAACTGCTGACAGTATTAGTGGAATAGTTTTTCCCTGATTCCTATAGAAAGTAAGTTGTGCAGCCTTGAGCTTAAGTAACTTGCCACTCTTTAGTCTTAAAACGACAGAACAGTAGTTTTGTTCAGGAGATGCGTTAACGGTTTTTTTTCGCTTTCCAACGAATATCTGAGGCGGTCTTGTTCCAGCTGGCTTGATACGATTTGAGCTTAAATTTCAAATTTCAGTGTCTTGAACAATCATTGCCATTCCCTGGAAGAGTCATTACCAAAACGGCATAGATAGGAGGTCGTTTGAGTTTGAAAGCGCATGTAAACATGTTAAAGATGAAAACTCTGCAAACACTCTTCACGGAAAACAACTTGATAATTGGACAAATATTGTTCTTCTTGTGCATCCGGAAGCCATAAACACATCAGATTGTATGCGTTTATAACATTGAAGGGATTCGTAATAATAATAATAATAATAATTCGTAATAATTCGTAATAATAATAATAATAATAATAATAATAATAATACAAGAAACGCTCAAGAAACGCCATCCATTTCTTTTGGTACTCAAATAATCGCTACATTCACAAACTGAATGTTTACTTTAGGTATGTTGACCAAAGCACTAGATGCTCCGGGCCATTTGGAAAGTTTAACGAGCAGATCCAGAAATTCCTGCATCATCGCCCTAGAGATGTAGTTCAGCATATCACGAATAATTTGCGCGAACCATATCCTCAGTCAGCCAAGAAAATAAAACAAGTGAGCGAACTGGGCATTTTTACAGGTGACGGGAAAATAAATGTTCACTTTGAAGATGATTCAACATACACACACTGTACTTGGAAGCTGCTGCATATACGTTGTAGAACAACGATGAAGGAAATTATTTGTCAGGAGCGACGTACCTGATTAAGAATAAAGAGTACTAGTCCAGTCAAATTGTGGTTTAGCATCAAACTAATTGCAACATAATTTTTTTCAGCGCCATTAAATTGTTGGATGGCTTTGTAACAACATACTAAAAATCCGCCAAAATCGGTTCGGTGAAACATGAGAAAAATTGGCAATAACGATTTTCAACTTTTACCACAGGAGACCCAATTTCAGGAAGATCACAAATTCAGATAAAACATTTGATAATTGTTTTTTTCCTCAAGAATTTTCGATACAACATCGCTAATGTATTTTGGGTAGTTTTGGTTTTAAAACGCCGACTAAATGTGTGAGAAACACCTGGGTCAGTGTTTCGTCTTGACGGCTTTGCACAGGTTACCCAGCCACTCGTTTGTCTTCACCTTCTGTTGTCCAAGCTGTAATTTTTTTTTTTCTATGACGGTATTTAAAAGGGAAATTATTAGTCAGTCTGTATTGACATGATTAAAAATATTAGTATTTTTTTATTTTTTTTTAAAACGCGTTATAGTCTTTACGTCTTTCTATTTTTAGTTTTACAGGCTTGTAATTTTTTTATATCCTGCAACATGAAATCAAATTTAGTCGCTGACTGATGGTGAACAGTTTGATTTGATATTTTGTTTACCTTCACTCAGCTACTAAATTTGCATGCATGCTGCAGGATACGTGCAACTAAATGTGTGCAACGGACGATAGCTTTGTATCAGTAAAAACTGTTTAACCTATTCCAATTTTCTGTAATCGAGTTTTGTGAGGTAGTTATGTTCAAACCTTGGACACAATATGTGTGATCGAAATCAGGGATTCTCTTTTTTTTCTCACCACATGAGCAACCTCCTTTAGGATTATGACTCCGTACTTTACAATGTGAGTGAATAAATATTCTGCTAAGAACTCTGTCTATTTGGTTTTTGCTAGATCATAACGCTCTGCGCTTTTCATTACACCTGGCCAAATCTGTTCTAAAGGAAATCAAGAAAACCAAAAAAATGCAACGCAGTGTGATTGTTCTTTTTTTTTATCTTCTTCTTGTAGCGAGGCTCAGATTTAGTTTAGTGTATCTGTGTGTTTAATTTGTGTTTTCTGCGGCAGCTCCTCATTTCTTGGTAAGATGAATAAGATTAATTGCTCTATGGTCTAAAGGCATTTATATTCCCTCCTTGCATTTCTTTGTGAGAAATGGCAACCCTCCAGGGAGTCGCATTTGATAGATAAGGCCATGACTCTTGAACCTCATGGCCTAAACCGCCGTGACGAATTATTGTAATCCATATCCTTAGTATTTTTCGTTTCCAGTTTTTATGTTGTACGTCATTTCCGCCTCTCCCTTTTATTGCGACATTCTCCATTTATATAATATTGTGATTGCTACATAAGTTCAGTAACATCTGTAAACCTGTAGAAGGCTGGTATGGCCAGCCGAAATATTGTTATAAAAAACAATATACCGGTACGTTGTTTTAAATCAGCTTTGCAGTAGTCTTTGGACTTCTTGTTCCTGAACCTCGACCAGTTTTTTTTTTTTCGTCCTTTGGCAAATGAAGACCTCTTTTTTCTATAACAATCATGGGATCCTTAACATCTGAAAATAATTGCAGTGGTCAATGAAGGCGCGAAAGTACTGGACATATGTACGACATCAATGGGCTTGCCTGACTTAGCTTCTGATGTGTCACCTCTTTTTGCGGAACCCATGTTTCTCTTCGGATAAGCGTTGTGTAGCACTTCAACTTACCGCAAGTTAACCTTCTGACTGAATTGCGTGAATTATGCTCTGCGTGGGGAATTTCCATTACTCCAAAACTCTTACAAGATATTTTTATACGCATTGTGTTAAACTTTCCCTTAAAAACCAGCTTCCCTATTATACTATTTCGTTTTCTTGAAACAAACGTTTGCTAGAACCAAAGTTCTTATGCGAGGAATGTTCCGTTAACCTTTGCGAAGGTAACAACGCTTTTCCTTTTAGAAAAGGCAATTCCCTCTCATCAAATTCATATAGGCACTGGAGCTTAACCTGTTCAAAAACTCTGCATTGTTGTGCGTCGGAAAGAATTAGTAAAACTATCCTCCCCTCCTCTACAATTCACTTTTAACAAGAAGAAAATGAAAAGCTTCGAAAAAGTGAAACTTGTACATTTGAGGGTGTTGGTACGTTAACAAAAATTAATGTATAGGTAACCGTAAAAGCCAAAGCATTATCTTGCTGGATTTTTGTAAACGTACCGAACGAAAATTGCAGTCTTTTCACTGAGAAAGAGACCAAAAGCCGAGGGGAAAATGAGCCCAAAAATCCTCCTAGAAAAGAACAAGGAAAGGAAAAATAGAAAGAGCGAGGAGAAAGAAACGAGGAGAAGAAAGAAGAACAATGGCTGCACTCTAAGCTTCTATGTTGACTTCTTTGGAGATAACTGTTGAAAGAAAAAAACTGTTTGAGGGGAGAGCTCTATTTTGGCTGTAACGTTATTCAAAAATCCAGCTCTGATATATATTTTTCTTACCCTCACGGCTAACAGAAATCTGATAAAAAAGATATCTTTTAAGAGCTAATGATTAAGTAACGGCTTTCATTTTTCATATTTAAAGCCTTACGACTAAATTTGTTGTAGTCTTACAGCCAACAGTTCATTCTATTGCTCTGAAAGCCTCCTGTTATTTCGGGGTTCCTTGAGTGGAACATGGGCTTTCTGTGCAAAAGCCAACCGTGTTTAATATTTATCCCTTTTGAAAAAAGAAACACTTCGTTTTTTTCAGCAAAAAGTAGGTAGCAGTTATTCTTTCTTCTTTCACTTTTCCATAAAAGTAACAAACACATTTTGTGCATTTTTTGTTTAACCGTATAATTTCAACTAACGTGGGTGCCCTGTGTTAAAAGCTCAAAATGTTTAACGCTTAATTTTGACATGCTCCGCCGAAAGGATTTTGGCGGATTTTTAATATGTTGCTAGATAGGCCACCCTTACTTAAATGACGTTGAAAACAATTATGTTGCAATTAGTTTGATGTTGAGCCTCGAAAATGCCTAGATTGACTGGACTATACCTAAGGGAGTTGCCTGATGATATCGAGCAGCTATACGTCAAAACAAAAACCATGCTGCCTAAAGAAGATGGCGTGTCACTTGAGGAAGATTCTGAGAGGAAAAAAGTGAAGACAAACGATGAAACTGTGTCAACCGAGGCAAAAAAATTGCTAGAGCACCCAGCCACTGCCATTGGTGACTCACGCGACAAGAAAATAGATAGGCCTGAAGAAAAAGTTAACTGGACCGATTTCAGGAACCAAAAAGCCCCTCAAAGACGACGCCAAGGAAAAACAGGATCAAGCGCAAAGAAAGTAAATTGAAATGAGGAAATCCCTGTGATTGCTAAGGCGACGATGGATTCCAATCGCGATTACTCTGACACAACACCAAGATCAGTAGATAAAAAGCCCATCCCCTGCAGCAAAAAAGAAGCGCATTTTCAGACCTCGCCAGTATAGTGTTGGGTATGCATGTTCATCAAATCAATTCCATAAATATAAATAAATAGAAATATCATTATATTAATATTAGTTTCATCAAATCGTGAAAGTACCATTGAATTTTTAACATAGGTCAACACGTACAAGAGAACGTGAATGATCTGAATAGCAGGGGACAAGCTGCGCACCATGCAGAGAGTAAAGAGGAGAAAGGGGCTAGGATTCAAACATGAAGCAATGAACGATAGAGGGAGGGATCGATGAAATGAAGCCAAAGGAAGACCAAAATGTAGTGGTAGGTGACGGCAAAGAACAAACAGAGTTACAAGATGGGACAGACGGCAACAAACAGGGGAATTTTAAAGATAAGAGTGACGAAAGCAGTAGAGGAAAAAGTTATTGTTGTTGATAACAAGAGCCCTGACCCAAAATACTGGATCCAGTACACTGTTAAAGGGAGCAATGAAGCTTGCATTGTGCTTTATCCAGAGAGTAAATCAAATATTTTGAATAAGGAGGGATGGCTTTCTGACTCAGAAATTCACGCGGATTTAAAACTGTTGAAACGACAGTTCCCATTTGCAGGTGGGCTTGCAGATCCAGCTGTCAATGGTGACATGGTTTCACTAGAGTCCCATGAGTTTGTACAAGTAATTAACTGTGGTGACAACTGGGTTTGCATATCAACATTTCCGGATGTGCAATGACTTTTGTAAATGTGTACAACATTGGAGGTAGTAGCCGTCCTAACAAGGTTATAGCCAGTCATGCTGCACAAATGCTAGGAACCCAAGACAGCAACATCAAGTTTGTGTTACCTGAAGTCCAGCACCAAATTGGAGTCACTGATTGTCGCCTGTTTGCTCTTGCCTTTGCCACGTCAATCTTTTTCGGTGAAGACTCCGCAACCTTACAACATAATCAGGCATTAATGAGATAACATTACCATGACTGCCTCTCCAATCTTTATATGCAGTCTTTTCCATCGAGTCCAGATGCACACACACACAAGCTGGGTGTTTCTAAAACCCATCTTGTGCATTTTCATTGCACATGATGGGGCACAATTATGTTCAATTTGATTAACTGCAAAGAATAGTATCATATGAAAAGTGTTGTCATTCCACAGTCTGCAATGGAAAAGGGGGAAAAATGATGGCAATGCAACAAGTGCTGTCAGGAAAGTTACCTAAAGGTAGCTAAATATCTTAGACTTTAACAAAATAGTGAACGTTAAAAACATTTGTTTTAATCATTTTGTTTTTGCTTGGTGGTTTAGCTTCTGGTAGATACATATAAACTAATCGAAGACGTGATTTTCAAGAGTAATTTTCCACAGAGGGCTTTATTGTTATTATTTACTTGTATTTACTGATTTATTATTTACTAACGTTTTAATAGTTAGCTAGGATCATGTTTTAAAATCCCGTACAACAGAAACAATGACGTACCGTAAAATTCCGAAAATAAGCCCCAGGGCTTATATTTTTCAAAGACCCTTTTTGAGGGGCTTATTTTCAGAGGGGCTTATATTCGAAGGGACCTATCCTCGGAGGGAAGTTTGCGTTTCAAAATCGATTAGGCTAGCCTTATAGTTGGAAGTAAATGTACTGTTTTTGCTTTGTTTTATTTGTATATGAGGGCAGTCTTCCAAGTACAAGCCCCCAGGCCCCTTATATTTGAAGGGGCGTTTTAACGGAGGGTTTTTTGCGCTACCGGTTTGGGGGGCTTATATTTGGAGGAGCTCATACATGGAGGGGCTTATTTTACGGTATTTCTAATTGTAAAGCAAAAGTTGCTGTGTTCCATTATATCATAAAAGTAATGAATTTAGTTCCAACCATCACGTTTCATTAACATTTCTCTGTACGCAGGACTTGTGGATATATATAAACTAAACACCCTACATATGATCTTTAGCTCACATCTCCACGTGTGGGGTTGGTGGTAACCTCCCCACCCACGCCTTCCCTAATTATAACCCAACATTCACATCGATCAACTGAAATACTTATCACTTAAGAAAAATGTTGGGTTATTGAAGGAGATCCAAACTCCCTGACAAATCACTAGCATAAATTTGAAGAAAAACCAGTCCTCTTGGTTTCAGTGTCAACTCAATGTTCAGTTGGTGTGTGTACTGTGTTTTTTTTCTTGAAGTTTTTTTTTTAGATTTAAATGCAATCTGACCACATGGCTATGAAAATAAAATTTAAAAAGTACAGGGTGTTTCAAAAGTTCGTTCCGATTTTTTCTTCACTTAAATTTCACTGATTATTAAAGATAACTTTTGTAAACCTAAGCATGTTATTCATTATTCATTTAACATTGAAAAACTGAAATATTAGCAACCAGAATGTCTTCCTTTATGATTTCTGACATTTTCTAAACGGTGAGGTATAGAATTTACGAACTCCCATAGCGTGTCTAAATTCACAATTTCCCAGGTGAAGCGTGGTCGCTGTCTTGGCTAGTCCAGTGTTTTGGAGGCTGGATCTTTGTATGTTGTCTCATCAACGATAATCCAGATAGTTACTACAGATTTCCCATCACGTGAGTTTGCCGGCCGGTTGGTCCTTTGGTATAAAATTTGCAAATTCTTCTGATGCCATGTCTGCATGAAGTGTGCACCGCCTTTTTTCTTTTCAAGGCTTTCCAACCTTTGTTGGTCACATATCTCCATACCGTTGTGCTCGAAACTTTGATATTGTGAAGTTGAAGTTTTCTTTTTACCTTGCAGTCTTGTTGAATTATTACGCATATGCTTACAGCTTTTTCGATAACATTTTTCACACAGTTTGTAAAAAAAAAAAAACGGCCATCTACTCCTTGGTTTGTCTTGTAAGGCCTTTACTTTTGACCACTTGTTCTCTCATCGTTCACACTTCTTCAACAATTTGACAATTTCTTCGACTAAATGGACAAAGTACCGTAAAAATGGACGCCTGAGCTCTAGCACAAACAGTGTACGCCTTCATTTTCGTGAAAGAGTAGAGAAAACAAAAGAAAACGCCATAAAAACGAAAAGAGAAAACCTACAAAATGGGCAGGAAAAATATGGCGGGAAAATATTCGCGTACGAGCACATTTGGGGAAAAACTTAAAATATATCATAATTTCTTTAAATTTTAGTTTGAAATTGCTTTGAACGGTTATTTAGATAAATTTCCTACCTGAATCAGTTTACATTTTCCTAAGGAAGCATTAAATTTTTTTGCGCAAAATACAATTTACAATCGGAACGAACTTTTGAAACACCCTGTATTTGCAAGAAACTCGTCACTAGCGTTCTTCAGCTGTCCTTCTGGAGGGTATGATTTAGGCACAACGCTCTGTTGATGCACTATAACGTCCGCCATCTTGTTTTGTCTCTTGGTACTGATGCCCAGACCCTTGCATAACAGCTAGATTGCTCGACCCCGCTCGCCGCAACGCCCTCTCTTTTTACACCCTGGTTATATACCGCGGCTTTGACGTCCGAGCCTATCGCCTTGTTGTTCACGTTCTCTAAAAAACTCAAAATTTGGCTGTTTCATGTCGAAGTTATGCCTGCGCACCTAGAGATATTTATGTTTGTCGCTTTTCTTCGCCCGAGCGGACTCATGTAGCGGGGACGAGGTTATCAAGCGGAAACGCTCCACCACTATATAGATATAGAAGTGGATCGGAATTCATTCTTCGCGTTCGTAAACTGAAATAAGCAGAACCATTTCAGCTACTTATATTCATAAAAATTCCATGAAAGTGGCAATAAAAGAATTATAAGTCAGACAAAGAAGTTGTTTGAACAAAATGCCACTGGATCATGCTTGCATGACTGATCAAGAGTTTTCTTGCGGTTTCAAGTCGCATGCGATTGGTGAATACGCAATTGGCATATCAAAATAAAATCAAAGTCTTCACGGTCTTTCGACTTGCACAGCTTTTTGCTCAGAATTTGCACAAATTAAAACCTGGGAGAAACCTTCCATAGAAGGGAAATACTTGGTAACGTTGTGCGATCAATCAGTATATTCTCGTGGAATGCAATCCTCTCTTTGTCCATTGACTGGAAACTGTTTGGGCCGTTCATTGACATACTGCATGTTGAAATTGCAGTTCAGACTTTGAAGAGAGGCACAAAAGGTAACCCAGTTTTTCGAATATCTTTGTTGAAATTACACTATTGTGGTACAAAATACTAATATAATTACCCATACAACTCACATCGTCCATGACGAAGACTGCAAGAGAATGACATATAAAAAAAAAAACATTTGAGAGAGGCAGAAAGCAAAACCTGTGAACAGTGAATTTATCTTTTAGGAAGCGAGAAGCACGTTTACTAGAAGACATACAGCAGGTAAATTCGGTGGCGTCAAGTACGGAGTACAACTTGTACCCAACGAAGCTTATCTCGACGGTGTCTGAAACACCACAGCGTTTTCTGTATACGAAAACACAGATCTAAACCAAATCTAAGTCCTTTGTTAGGTGAGTGTGTAGCTTTCTTGCTATTTCTCTGTTATGACATTCATGATGCTGTAGGAGTATCTGGCTGGCTTGTTAGGCAATAATTTTCTAGTTATTTCCTCGTCCAGCTGATATCAAAAGCACTCAAGTGCGAAGAGAACTAATTATTGTTCGCACTGCAAAGGAGCTGCCATCACGGCGAAACGTCGCGAAATATGAGATCGAACATTCCGCTTGGACTGGATCAAGTGATATACAGTGGACTACCAGAGTCCCAACAACGAGCGAACCCTTGGTTACTAGAAGCACGCGCTTGCTCGAACCAAAATTTTTCCCTGCATTTGTTCCATACTATGGCGCCATTTACTTTCGATACCTAGTTTGAACGTTCCGCTAACTTGAAGTTATGTTATTTTTCTTAATTTATAATCCTCGATAACTCAAGCTCCTTCAAGAATTTAAGTGTAATATATATGTATTATCAAACACAACTGGCCCAAGCTAAATGGTGCGATACAATTTTAAGTGAATTGTTGTGTTAAAACGGTCTCGGTTTTAATCACAAAATTACACGAAATAACTAAATGATTTAAGAAATAAGTTAACTTAGGTGTGTCGATGTTAAGGCACAGACAGTATCTTTTAGATGTATAGGAAGCATCTCGACCCTAATATGGTGTTTTGAATCTCGAGGTTGGTTGCTCAGAAACATAAATTCATCTAAATTGACCCCGTAGGTGGATAAAGAATAGACTAAAATCAGGTTTTGTGCCATATTACAGGCATCACAGGCATAATCGCGAACGTTTCGCTAATTTTGAGCTGCACGCGGTTATTGCCCAAAGCACCTAAACAGCCGTATTTGACCTACACTTTTTTAATAATTTTTTATCTTCTTCTTATCTTATACCAGGTGGCTCGTACCAGTTTTCATCCTTTTCTGGCGGTTTAAACCCACACACACACACACACACACAAAAAGCCCAAGCCAATTCACAGTCATTTTTTAAAAACGTTCTACGGAGCGGATATTTTATTAACCCATTGACGGCCATGCCAGCCAAAACCAGCCGTACAAGAATACACTGCTTTAAAACATTGCAACCTTCTCAATCGTGTGACCATTGATTTCACTGTCAGTTGTGAACATTGAGTCGAAAGTCCTTCAAATTGGGATGTCCAATAAACGCAAAAATAGTCATGCAGCGCTTTTTTTACATTTGTGGTCAATTATATCAGTACATTAGTGGCTTCC